TCGGGAGAAGTTATCACTACTCCTGCCCCCGAACCGTTTTCGGTGGAAGACCCATCCGTAAACACGGTCCAGACTTTCTTTTCACTGTCTAGCGCTTCTTGGTATGAGCATTCGGCCAAGAAATCCGCTAGAGCCTGAGCCTTAATGGCAGCCCTCGGACGGTAGCTGATGCTGAATTCGGTGAGCTCAAAAGCCCACTTGGCTAGCCTACCAGATTTTTCAACCTTGCCGAGAACTTTTTCCAACGGCTGATCAGTTAAGACCACTATCTGATGGCAATCAAAATAGGGCCTCAGCTTCCGAGCAGCTACTACTACCGCGAAAGCAACTTTCTCGAGTAGAGGATAGCGGGTCTCGGCATCCGTCAGTGTATGACTGACGAAATAGATCGGTTGCTGACTCTTACTCTCTTCCCTCAGCAATACTGCGCTGATGGTGGCCGGGCTAACGGCCACATATAGGTATAAAGTTTCTCCTTCAGCTGGGCTAGCCAGCGTTGGGAGTCGAGCCAGATGCTCCCGAAGCTGTTTAAAGGCGTATTTTTGCTCTTCCTCCCAAATGAGCTCTTTTGTTTTCGGGAGTTTTAGGGCTTTGAAGAAAGGTAACCCCTTATCCGAAGCTCTGGAAATGAACCTCGAGAGGGCTGCCATTCTTCCGGTGAGCCGCTGAACATCCCGTTTCGTTTTCGGCTCAGGAAGGTCGAGCGCCGCTTTGACTTTAGAGGGATTGGCATCAATCCCCCTTTTGCTGACCATGAACCCCAGGAATTTCCCTGACTTCACGCCGAAGACACACTTCTTCGGATTCAGCTTCATTTGATGCTTTCTCAAGGTGGCGAAAGTTTCAGCCAGGTCCTTTACATGGTCCTCTAGTTTTTTGCTTTTGACGATCGAATCGTCAACATAGACTTCCATGTTTCGGCCCTTTTGATCGGCGAAAACTTGATCCACCAGCCTTTGATAGGTTGCCCCCGCATTTTTCAATCCGAAGGGCATCATTTTGTAATTGTACACCCCAGCGTTCGTGACGAATGCTGTCTTGGCTCGATCGTCGGGGTGCATAAAGATCTGATGATACCCCGAGAATGCGTCCATGAAGCTAAGCAAGGCATGGCCACTTGTCGAATCGACTAGCTGATCGATTCTCGGCAAGGGATAGAAATCCTTTGGACAAGCCTTATTTAGGTCCGTGAAGTCAACGCACATCCTCCAGGTACCATTGGGCTTCTGAACCATCACCACATTTGCCAACCATTCTGGATATTGGCAAGGTTCAATGAATCCTGCCTCCAATAATTTTTTGACCTCGGCTGCGATGTCTCGGTTCTTATTGGCGGAGTAATTCCGCTTCTTTTGCTTAACTGGTCGACACGTCGGGTCAACATTAAGCTTATGGGAGATGAGGTCTGAACTTATCCCAGGCATATCAGCTGCCGAGAAAGCAAACACATCTCTGTTGTCCCGAAGGAGCTGAATAAGTTCACAACGGGTGTTCGGATCAAGGTCCATCCCAATTGCTACACATTTCTCACCGTCTCCTTCGGCCAACTGGACTGTTTCAGTCTGTTGGTCCATGTCCATTGCCGATGGACTGGACTCTTCAGAATCTGGCCTGCTGCCAATGTCAGAAGGTGTCCCAGTCTTTGTGTTCTTCGGCTAGCTCTCTGAGTCTTGCGGCTCAGCTGAAGAGCTAGCCTTTTCCCTTTCGGGCCCTTTTTCTCTGGGCACAGATCCTTGGGCCGAAGCACTTAGGCCTTTCGGCTTTTTTGTGCTTGGCTCTCTTTCTTTTTGTTTCTCCTCCTCATCCTTGTCGTCATCTGGGCGACTACTGGATGGCTTGAGGTAGTTGCACCTTCGGGCGTCCTTTTGGTTGCCCTGTATCCTTTCGGGGAAGCCGGCGTCTGAGACGTAAATCATCAGCTAATGATAAGTTGAGACGACCCCTTGGATCTCGTGAATTATGGGTCTCCCCAAAATCACGTTGTACACTGAAGGAGCGTCGATGACCAAAAATTCAATCATGACGTTCCGGGCTGCCTCATCGCAACCGATGGTGACAGGAAGTGTCACCTTCCCATCTGGATAAGTTGAAGCCCCATTGAACCCGGATACCGGATAGGGTACCGGCGTAAGGTGCTTGGGCTTCAGCTTAATTTGATTGTAGGCCTTTCGGAACAGAATGTTTGCTCCACTGCCACCGTCAACAAGGACCTTACTGACGTCGTGGTTGGCCACCGTGGCGATGATCACCAACGGATCCTCGTGAGGGAACGTAATCCCCCGGCAGTCGGCGGCTGTGAACGTCATGTTCGGCACCGGTGACTGGGGAGATTGAATGTCAGCGTTGTTCACCTGGTGAGTCAAAGCTCTAAGGTGGCGCTTGTGCTCCCTCCGAGAGTATATTCCTCCCGAGATAACATTGATCGGAGGGAATTTCCCCTCCGGCTTTTTACTGTTTTTCCGGGGGAAATCAAGGTCCTGCCGAGGGTCCTTTGCTGACCTCTCGGATTCTTTTTTCTCGCGGTGATCCGCGATGTATTTTTTCAAGTATCCCTTCCGGACCATGTCCTCTATCTGGTCCTTCAGTTGGATACACTCCTCAGTGTTGTGGCCCGAAAACTCGTGGAACTCACACCACTGATTTTTATTTTTTCGCTGATACCACTCTGGGAGTGGTCTCGGCTTTCGGTAACTCTGCTCCTCCTTCGTCACATTGTAAATTTTGGCGCGTGGAAGAGAGAGCGGAGTGTAGGACTCGTATCTGCCTGTGTATGAGGCAAATCTTTCCTTCTTTGGGTCGTTGGCCAAAGATTGCTCCGGGGCCTTTGACTTTCCCTTTGCCTTATGGCCTTGGCCTTCAGACAAGGGTATTTGCCTCTGTTTCCCTCCCCCGGATTGAGGTTGGGTTTTCGCTTTGTTCCACTCTTCGGCTCGGATGAACTTATCCGAAGCACTAAGAGCTTCCTCCAAAGTCTGCGGGGTATGCATGACCATGAAGTCTAGGAACTTTCCTGGCTGAAGGCCATTCTGCATTGCGAAAACGGCTAGCCCCTGGTCCAGCTGGGAGACGCTCGATGACTCGTTACTGAAACGGGTCAGGTAGTCTCGGAGGCTTTCGGTTTCCCCCTGTTGCAGACTCATGAGTTCTGCAGTAGTCTTCTCTCGGCGGTTTGCCGTGGAAAACTTGCTCCTAAATTTGGAGGACAGATCATCCCACCCTGTTATGGAGCCTTGCTTTACTCCCTTGGAGATCCACGCTTGCGCGACCCCCTTGAGAGTGGTTGGGAAATATTTGCACCAAGTCGCTTCGGATCTGGGGCAAAGATGCATATGAGTCTCATACGAGGCCACGTGATCCTTCGGATCCGAGGTCCCGTCATATGTGATGTGCGACGGTATTTTAACCGTGGGCACGTGCTCTTCCAGTATCCATTGCTCGAATGGCGAACTGGCGGGTAGCATAACGGCCTTGCCCTTGTTCCTAGCCGAAGGGACCGCGCTCCGCCCTCTTAGAGAGGTAGGAGTGGTTTTCGTCCCTGGCTGGGAAATCTGGGCCTCGGCTGCAGGGAACGAGAGGCGACTACGCACGCTCGGTTTCTGGCCGCCGAGTCGGTCAAGGACGCTTCTGCGAACAGTCTCAGGTTCTCGGTGAGTAGATTCTGGCCGAGAAGCTGAGCTGCTGCTCTTATGCGCTTCTGGTCTTGAGGATGAGGATCCTTTTAAAAATTGAGGGTTCTTTTTCCTCTGTTTTTCATTTTTCCAAGAATCCTCCTCCCACTCTTCCAGTTCCCGGAAGGAAGGAAGCTTCCCACCATCATGGTCTAACTTCCTCCGCTGATGCCGGGTATGCGGAGGAGTTCGATCACGAGGTGGTGGCGTATTTTGTGCCCTCATCGCCTCCATGAGTACTGCCAGCGCTCTTGCCACCTCTTCCGAGTTGGGCCCCGTCAAAGGGGTCCTCGGCCGAGTGTGGGAATGAGGGCGCGCAGCCGATGGTTGGCTTTGGGACACTGAATATGTCCTATGATCGGACTGACCCCTGCTAGACCGAGAGTGGCCCGGCCTATATTGAGAGTCATGAATTACGGGAGATAGGGAATCCTCCTTGTATGATCCTCCCCCCGAGCCGGCACCCTTAAGAGAGTTCCGGTCCGGCGAGGGCGATGGTGTAGGGGTTTTAGGCTTTTCGCCCGCTCCTTGACGGAGGCTTTTGCTCTTGCGGTTCTTAGCCATTGATGCTAAGATAATTGCAAGATGATCTTGGTTAGGAATTTGGCTTAAAGATTTTTGAAAGTCTTCCCCACAGACGGCGCCAAATTGTTTCGGGTGAAAACAATGGGACCTTGCCGAAGGTCCGCTGAAATGGAGAAGACTGGATTTGGTCCAAGTTATGTTGGGCCGAAGGTTTCCTGCACAGTAAACACACGTAAACTAGCCTCGGGGGTGTTGCCGAGGAAGGCCCCTCCGATGCTAAAGTCAGTACAATGTGTAAGAAGAAGACACTATGCAAGAGAGTTTGTAGCTTGAGGCTTTTATGGCATATATCAGAATATATGAATGAACATATGAATCTATGAATGAATCAGAATATGAATCCCCCTTTGAATGAGACAATATGATAGTTTTTATACCTCATCATATATGGAGAGGTTGGGCCTTAGCCCAATTGGCTTGCTTTGTGGGCTGACCTTTGACTTTAGCACAATTGGAGAGTTGAACCTTGACCTTGGGCTTTTAATTGGATCATTTAGTGCTTAGGCCCAATTGGACTAAATTGGACCCAAACAATTATCAAAAGAAAATATAATTGCACAACTACTCACATCCATCTCCCCTCAAGAAAACACGATCTGATTTGAATATTATCATATCATCTTTGAGATTGAAGGAATGTCATTATCAATCATAAATCTCCAAAATCAACCTTACCAACACAATCATGAAATTTTTCGGTTGAAAATAACATATTAATTACATAAAGGGAGTATAAGGGAATTATAGTTACCAGGAGTATGTATCAGGGCAAAACCAAGAAGGAGGTGGCCAGAATAACTCAGACAAGCTCGGGTAAGATGATAGTAGCTTACAGCGATTCTCATCCAAGTAGAACACACCAATTGTGAGGTGATTTCTTTCTCCTTTAAATAGCTCATAATCAGGATCATATCCTCCAGAATACAGAGGAAAACAGTTCTTAGGGAATACAACACAATTTCCTCTGCACCCTGGAAAATCTTTAGCTTGAACAAAGAAGCAGCTGTCAAAACTTACAAACAGAATCCTATCTCCTATATTATTCACCTTATACCACGTACGATGCCCTTCATGCAGCTTATAAACCCTAAAATCCCAAGGGCCTCTAACAATCAGGTAGAGTTCTCCAAATGATTCAACCAACAGCTTACGCCTTTGTTTACTTGCATAAGGGTAACTCAGCTCCTCTGAGATAGTATCAACTATCCTCATGTTATGACCATCAATGAGGTAAGCTATCCCTTCACGGTCCACAGCACAGATATACCCCTTGAATTTTACTATATCATCAAAGCAATGTCGTTTGGTTTTGCTGATATATCTCCATTGGTTAGTCCTCAAATTAATTGAAGCGAATGAGCCTCCTAGATGGAGGAATAAGACAACTGCTATACAATCTTCAATAGAGGTTGCATTTTCAGAGAGTATTACCACTTTAGTAGGATGAGAATAGTCTGACCAAGGTATTGAGATCCCACAATCTCTGAAAACCTTATCATCACCATTGGAAATACAAAATTTGAACCCAAAACTGACTTTGGATACCTGAAACTCAAGGAGATTCAAGTATTTCGGAAAATTTACTGGCATATCCTTGTATGGGATTTTACTGAGGGGATGGCAGATTAGGAGTTTTCCCGGGTTCAAGTCTTCAACTGAGATTAACCAGGGTTTTGCAGAATTCGGGATTGTTTGATTAAGGGGACGCAGAACATAGGTTAGTCTAGCCACAAGAAAAATGGAACGATTTGATTTTTCGAATATGAAGCTAGGATTAACATGGTGAGGCAACTGAGAATATAAGAGGGATCCAGAAAGATGGCAGGAAGAATGCCATTTTTTGCAAACTGAACGAAATCTGCAGTGATCCAAGCGAGTAGCAAGGTGATCAGCAAGCACTTTGAGCAATTCTTTGGGGAGCTCCGACCAGTCTCTCCTAGGAATCAAATCATCACAATTCTCACCTAGTACCTCTGCAAAAAAAGTAAAGCTACACTTGTTAAGATTACATCCCAGAAATAAGAGAATAAACAAAAAAAAAGGAGCTTCCTTAATCCTTATTGAGAATCACCTTTTTGGTTAGGGCAGTCTTCTTGTTGCTCATTTTTCTCGAACTCCCTAATAAAAAAAGGCATAGAAAATTAGAAAGAATCAAAGTAGAAAGCAATTTTCCATATAAGCTATTGACTGTACTCATTGCTCAAGCTACTTTAAACCTGTTTCTTGGACTGAGATGATTATATCATGGATGACATGCACCAACAGCATTCAAATTGGAGCAACATAACACCATTAGATGAGATGTTCATAGAATGCATTGTGCAAGCAGCCTAATTAGTGCCTAACCACATACAATTTAATAATTGAAGCACACTAACATCTTAGCAAGATTAAGGCAGAGTATTAACACTTGAATTGGTCACCCGACAACTATCAAACAAGCTTAGTCCTTGAAATACTGAAATGTGTGTGATACAATTTTGTACTTAAAACATAGTAGTGAGCATCACACATCAACATCCTTCTAAGAAAACATTTCTAGGACAAATCATTGAAAGAGAAAAAACTAGTTAGTGAAATAGAATCAATCATTAATCAAAGGAAGGCTATGAATCTGTACCATGTAAAAGAGCATGAATTCGGCCAAATCCATGATGGAGGTGGCCAAAACATATCAGATAAACCCAGGTAGAATGAAACCAGCGGGGCACGATCCTCATTCAGATAGAACACACCAACCTCAAGGTACTTGCTAGCTCCTTTAAACAATTCATCATCAGGGTGGTATCCATTAGAATAATTAGGAAAACAGTTCTTAGGAAAAAATATGCAATTCCCTCTACATCCTGGATTATCCTTTGCTTCAACAAAATAACAACCATCAAAAGTCACAATTAAAATCCTATCTTCCAAACTATTCACCTCATCCCACTTTTGTTGCCTTTCATTCAACTTAAAAACCCGAAACCTAAAACAATCTCGAGCAATCATGTACAACTTCCCATGTGATTCTGCCAAGAGCTTACGCCTACCATTAGCATCACCAACACAAACAGGCCTAGTTATAACTCTCATCACCCTCGATACACGATCATCGATAACGCAAACTACTCCATTACGATCCATAGCACAAACCTTCCCCTTAAATTTAACAATGTCATCGAAAAAAACACCATGAATATTTCTCATGTAATGCCACACCCCTAGTCTCATAACACCCAAAATTCCCCCAAGATTAAGAATCAGAACTACGAATGAATAATCATAATTTTCCACGAATATATCATCATCAAACAAAAGCACTTTAGTTTTAGTAGGAAAATCACTCCAATTCTGAAACCCCTGATAAAAAAATCTACTCTCAAAAACATCCTCATTCCCATTAGACAAACAGAATTTAAAACCCTTCCCAACAATCGAAACCCGAAAACGCAACGAATTCAACGATTTAGGGAAATTCTTGGGAAGATTTTCAATGGGTATTTTAGTTAGAGGGTAACGAAACTTCAATAAACCCGGATTCAATTCTTCAAGACAAAGAACCCAGAATTTCGGGGAATCAAAGTTTTTCTGATTGAGGGGTTGAATCAAATAAACAACACTTCCAACCAAGAACTTAAGACGATTTTCACAACCCAGTAATGATCTAAAATGGTGATCATGAACTGGGATTTGAAGAGGAAGAACAGAGAATAAGAAACGAGATGTAGCGAGAGCAGGAGAACGCCAACTCCGGCAAACTGCTCGGAATTTGCAGAGGTTTAAATGGCAATCGATACGATCAACGATTTGTAAGAGGAGTTCGTCGTCGTCGGCAAGATGACACCAGTTTAACATTTGCAATTGAATCTCTGTTTCTCTCATTTTCTGAGAAAATTGCACTGGTTTCAGTGTTTTGGTTTCAGAAATGAGAAGTGTTTTGAGTTTTTTGAGGATTGATGTTACTGTGTGTTTGTAATTGTGTTCCTATGATTTGCCGCCAATTCTAAGAGTGACGTTTTATAGAGAATTAATTCACCAACAAACTTGATAGCTCCCTCAGTTTCAAAATAATTGATACGGACTTAAGGAGTATTCCGTATAATTTGAGCGGAATACGTATCATTGCAAACGTTTTGAGACTTTTGACGAATAAGAAAACGTACAATAAAAAAATATACTCTGTATTATAATGTTTTTATAAACCCCTTGTTAGTTGTTACGACTTCACGAGGGAATGTATTATAAATTGTCAAAATTGATATTATGAAAATACAAAGTATGGAGTAAATTATGAATACTTGTAAAAAAAGAGTATTGTGATTGGCCAATTGTCGATCATTGGGATTTAGGATTGGGCATGAGGAGAGAAAGTAGGTAATGGGCCTGGTCTTGGTCTTGGTCTTGGTATTGAATTGAAGTGGGCATGCCGCATGAGGGAGATGATTGCCATTTGTCGCATTAACTGGGTTAGTTTTTTTGTTTGGCATTTGGTGTTTCTTAGGCTGTCTTAAGACTTGACTATAACTACTTTAAGTACAAACATCAAGGATAAGCAAAACATTAATACAATGACCAAACATGATTAGTAAGTCTTATACGAAATATGATGCAGACATATGTTAATTTTATTGTAAGACAGTCAGTAAGAGTAACTTTAACGATTTTTATGTATTTTAATACATAATTTCTAATGAAAAGATGCTATAAAGGTTAACATGATTAATATAATACATTTATAAGTCTTTTTTAAAAGTAAAATTTATGTTAAGGGAATGACAACTTTAAATGTTTTTAGTGTAACGTTAATCCATTTTATAATGAGTTAATGAAAGTCCACTTAAAAAATTAAAAATAAAAAATAAAATAAAATAAAATAAAATAAATGTATTTTTATCATAAAAATACAAAGTAAATTATAAATTGTCAAAATAAATGAACATAGAAACACCAAATGCAAAAATCCTAGTCGCTATTTTTACAATGTTGGGTAAAAAGCCACATTGAAGAACCACAAGCAAAAGCACCTGCATTGAAACATATACAGCACATAATCGATTCATGTATCCTGCGGAACAGACTTACAAACTCATTTATAGATGATAATGAGGGATACCAAAATTGCAATTGTCTATTTTCTCCAGAAGCTCAGTAACGAATAAGTACAGGAACTTTTGTTCTCAGTGTGTCAATATTTGCTTTAGTTACAGCATTACAAAGTTGATTCTGCCCTAAACTAATTACTTCATGAATCAAACTTCAAGGACACAGCTTCTCATTCTTCTGAAGGAGCATAGATTTTTACACATCCATACAACCCACTAGACTATGCTTAACAAAGGATAAGAACTCAAAAATTAAAACAGTTTTGCTGCCTACATTACTCAGGAAACAGAAAAGAGCTGCACCATATCCATTAGGCATATATATCACCTACTCTAGTAGCTGCTGTATTGATTTGACATTCATAACAACCTTAAAGGAGATGCAACATTGATGAGCAGGATAATACTCTTCACAACTAATTTGCCGTTGGAAACAAATTTTCTCAGATGATCAGAATGGAAGAGTCATAAGTTAGGGTGAAACTTCATAGTCGTAATCTGAAGAATAGGACTGCTAAGCTCTACGGAAACTTGGTTTCTACAATTGCGGTGGATCATATTATTTTACCAAAGAAATTACTCAGGCACCAGATTTCCTTCTTTTCCTTGGCAGTTTACCTTGTGAAGTTTCAGCAATTTCAAGTGATTCAGTTTGGGTACCCTCTTTCGAAACCTCTGCCTTTGATGTTTCAAGCATTGACTTATTGCCTTCTACTTTCATCCCAGACTTAGGAGGTGAGGATATCTTTCCACTGGCCACATCTAATGCACTGATATCTGCACTGCCACACTCAGGGACAGCAGTAATAGTATCAGCCAAAGCACTCTCACCTCCAATGCAAGCACCACTATGAGTACTGCTATTTGATACAACTCGGGTCATGTTTGCTTCTAAACGTGATGGATGGTGATGAAAGCTCCAACGAGCATTACCAAACCATTTGTCCACCTGCACAAGAAAGCATTTTAAGAATAGGCCCAAGCATACAGTAGGAAATTTCATCAGTTGTGAAGAGATTCCACCAACCTTGTAAGCTGTGAGTCCAAGTTCATTTGCCAACTTCTCTTTTGCTTCACGATCAGGATACTGATTTTCCTTAAATGATTCATAGAGTCTCTGCACAACATAATTTGAATTAAAACAGGAAATGATAACCAAAGGTCTATGACAGGAACTGATCAAAGTGAGTAGACCAGATTTTTAGGAAATGATAACCAAAGGTCTATGACAGGAACTAATCAAAGTGAGTAGACCAGATTTTTAAGTTAACTATCTCCTGGTACTCTACTCCCCAGATCCCAAAATGTGACCCATGGTGAAAAACACTGCATGTGATGAGGTTTTCTTGAAAATCCTAGATCTTGTTGTATTCTAATACCTCAGTCACTATACAACTAGAATCAATAAGCAAACATGTCATATACTACGTATACAACTAGACGTCAGTAAGAAAACAAATTGTTGCAATTTTAAGGAACAGGGGAAGCATATATCCACCAATTTGAGCCCCACTGTAGCATAATCCAAAGATATTACAAATATACACAGCCTATACTCCTAATCAAATGAGTGGCAAGACCATTAATGAAGCTGGTTCTAGATTAATCTAATAAAACTCAAATCAATAAACAAAAAAAAAAAAATATTGCAGCAAAAAATTCTTCTTTTACATCTCGCGAGAGGATGGGCAAACAACTTCAAATTCTCAAGGTTCATGAATCCACAGCTCACACACAAGCATAAACAGTAACCATTCGTTGCCAGGGGAAAAACTCAGTCTTGACAAATTCAGCATGAAGGAAACTAGAATAATTCTGAGGTTTGATCACCAACAAGTACATCGCAACTCACCCATTGACAGTATAATGCTATCCCAAATTACTGAAATCAAATATCATTTCATAATACCTTAGTCACAGCTTCTCCAAGCCGATTATATGGTGGTCGCCTTTTACTACTGCCAGCAGGACTTTTTTTCTGAGGGCTTTCTTGCAGCGGAACTGGTGACCCATTTGCAGCTTGACGACTGGCCTTTGGTCGACCTCTTCTTCGAGAAGAACCAACGCCACAGGTGCCATCAGCCGAAGCTGAGGTACCCATATTTGAAACTGAAACAGCTTTTTCTTGACTGCTTTTCCTTTTTCTTGTTCCAACCACATCTGTCCATTCTTCATCATCATCACTTGGATCCGAAGCAGCATTTCCATACGTTTCCTTAATAAACAAGAACATATCAAATTGACAATCAACACCCATCAGATATAGAAGCATTCATTCATTTCACACCCCAAAAGAATAAAGAGCACCATCATTCTACAAATACAATATTTATTGATTTATCAAGCGTGGATCCACAATGTAATCAACTCAACAAATTGAACCTCATGTAGACTATAAATTCCACAAGAGACATGGTTCGGTCCTTTGTTATTTAAATGCAATACTAGATATCCTAAAATTCATATACAGATGAATAGATGATAAAAACCTTTCCACCTTGATTACAGACAACCTGAATTAGATACAGGAAAAAAACTAAAGAAAAGGGCAAGAGAATTAATGTTCTGATCAAAATGGTTCAGGTGTTATAAAACATGTTCCAGAACAAGCACAAACAAACAAACAAAAAAACATTAACTGGCAGAACACCACAAATTCATATAAATAAGCAAAGCATATAAACAACAACAGCAACAACAACAACAAAAACAAAAGAAACAAAACCACTCGAGATTAACAAAGCATTAAGGATTCTGAAGGTGGATAAGAGAGAACTCAGCCCAATTGCATGCGAGTATGCGACAGAATGACTATACTGATGAACTCCCTTAATTTTCTTCTGAAACTAAAGCATTCAAAACAAATCAATTATGTAAGTTCATTGTAAAGTATCCACTTTGAAAAAACTTCAGTCAACTAACTTTACCAAAATCCAACCTCAAAAAAAAAACGACACATCTCTGCTCAAGTTTCCTGGACGACTAGATGTTTTGGTTTCTCATAAGTCAGCCAGATAAATCATATTTTAAATTAAAAGAAAGAAAAGGGAAAGAACAGAAAAAAGCATTTTCCAGAGGGCAATACTTACATCATAGAGCTTCTTGTAGTCCAATCTCTGCACACATCTTTTACTAGTAATAGGTGAAGATTCACCTAAGTCTTGCTCCGGATCCAAAGGTAGAGACGGTTCATTGATGTCCGAAGTACCATCATCACCGATTGCTGCACCTAGATCCTCAGAAGCAGATGTAAAATCTGAACTTGAACTTTCAGGCTCAACTCCTTCTTCATTAACATTTGCTGCATCAGGATTAAAGTCATCATCCTCAGAATCATCAGAAGGAAGCCCAAGATTTTGCTCGGCACCACGTATGGGCCCTAGATCTTCCGAAACAGAAGAGAAATCATCATCCTCAGATTCATCAGAATCAGACGTAGCAGAGCTTGATTCATTCCCTTCGGCATTGGCATCATCATCAGTGCCATCTGGGTTGTATTCATTATCCTCGGAATCATCTGAAGGGAGTCCCATAACATCATCCAGCTCCTTGGAGACCATAGCTGAAACAGCTTCAGGAAAAACTTTCTGCAGGAACAATGCATTATTAGAATGAAGCAAAAAAAAAGAGGGCCAATACTCAATACAAAGGGTGATGGCCTTGAAATACCTCCCATTTGTCCTCAATTGCAAGTCTTGTTCCTTGAGAATCATTAAGCAAATCAACACAGTCAAGTTTGCAATCACAAGCTGGACATAGCCAGCCCTCATCACCAGGTGGAACTGAACAAAACAGCAGCAGAGAACCCATGAAGAAATCATCTGAGGATTAATTCAATATCTATAAAATAAAAATGCTGAGAGTCAGTACTATCAATGATTCAATGAGATTTTACTTTCTTCAGTTAGTAGCGGTGGATCTAAACAGTACTGGTGAAATCCACGTTCACAAATACCGTCACAAAGAATAATGTCATTGCCTGGGGATAGATCTTTAGACGCACACTTGGCACAGAATATCTGTTACAGAAAAATATAGAAAAAATTCAGGAGCAACTCTTCAAACAAGATATCTCCAATGAAATCTAAATGAAGTACAAGAATATATTTATACAAAAGATTTTAGTTCTTACATCCTCACTATCAATGAGACCATCAGCATCATATAACGTCTCTGGGAACTTCCCTTCGGCAAGCATTGAATCAAATCGTTGAAATAAATCCCTAATTTTCAACTTTGAACGATTTATATCAGCCTTAGCACGCTGAAGCTCCTTCTCCGGCCTTAACTTCTCTACGCTGTAACATAAGAGCAGACAATCAACAAAGCCAATCCATGCTACAATATACATTATGCAGTAAAACCAGTGTGGGCATCAAATTCTAACAAATCCAATAACCTACATTTCCTGCAAGTCTTTGAAGGTAAATGAGGCTTCTTCAGCCACCTTTGAAGGCAAACAGTTATTTGATTTCCAAATTGCTACAAAACCACACTATTGAGAATCATATGATAAAAAGAAACATTTTGGATATTCCATTCATGAAAGATGAATAATCATCCATAGCACATGTGACAATGGTACAATTGCTATTGGTGCATAATCCCTTACAATTAAAATTTGAATTCCTTAAGTGATCTCAGAGCACAGAATTGGACCACCAGAGATGGGACACTATAGTTTCATCATTTGGAGTAGGGGCTTATAATAGAACATATGAATTCATTTTCAATCCTGGTTTTAAACGAGCATTTTTTGAATCGGATGATCTTAATCCAACTCCATTTTAGATTTCGGTATGGAAAGGGTTCAATGGAAAAGCTTTTAAGATAATTTTCATTCAGCATTTTGGACAATGTACTCAGCATGCTAATATATAAAGTGCCATTTCTTGCAATATTGGTTATGTGGCAACGTCAAACCTCACCTCTCCTAGAAATTATTAACAGAAAGTCATATAACCAATTTACTCAAATTTCAAAGAAAAATTGGAAACGGGTGGCAAGAAATGCGAAAAATATTTACGTATCATTTTTATAATGATCATCAGTTAAAATACAAGTATTTCAAAGATAAAAATTTGAAGAAGGAAAAATAAATTCAACAAGATCAAACGATACATATTCAATAAACACAGTCTTGTTGACCAGTCTAGACTCCCCTTCCCTCATTTACTCTATCTCGAGGACCCTAGCCATTGCAATTCTCCACAAAACAGAGTAACATTGCTATTTCTCCACTTCTTTCATTGCAAGCAGAACTGACTAATTGCAGTATCTGCCACCACCAACCAAAGCTCATCTCACTGCCCTACAGTTCTAGGTGTGCATACCTTCTCATCTATCACTAACTTTACTATTAAATCTTTAGTTTTCGCCAAAGATACGTGCATGAATATTGCAGTATTGAGCGGAAAGCATGTATGTGAGTGAAATTATGTTTCATGTGCATTTTTTAGATGATTTTTTTCCCCAAAATGTTTAAACCCTTTCCAAAACATCATAGCAAGTTTCTAAACAGGTTAGAGAAATGTTACTTCTGTTTTTTGACAATTTTGCGCATCAAAGATGAAGATACCTATAATATAACTTATTACGCTAAATATTACTTCCTCTGTCACACAATACAACGCCTGTATTCCTTTTTGGGTAAACCAAAATAGAAAGCCTATTTCTATTAAAGGTAGTACGTTTTGAGAATATTACCCTTTTATTGATGAGTTGTCATCCTTTTTTATTTTCTTTTTTATACTTTTACATCAATTCCCAACACTTTCTCTCTCCCTTTCTTCAATAATTCCCAACTACGTTTTCTTTCTCTTTATCTCTTTAACCTCACGTGCACATATGTACTTTCAATCATTAGTTTTAAGGAATCTACAATCCCATGAAAAAACCCAAATATGCTTTGTATTGTGTGACGGAGGGAGCATGATGTTAGGACAAGCAATGACTCAAGGTTGACCTTTTTCCTCCAGGAACAGCCTAGCATAGAAGTAGTTGCTTTTGCAACAAGCCAATAGCAAAGCCTAACATTCAAAGATTTCAAACTTCCGTCGTTTTGGAAGTCCACTAGAACTAAGAGATTATGAGGAGAGTTTTGAACCATTTAAAGTTTGATAGGAAAATGAATAACTGGTACAGTGTCTACTCCAAGTAACCAGAAGTCCAGAATCAAAAGACTAAGAATCTTAACAATTTTTAACTCTTCTCATGGCCCGTCTGTATTAAATTACCATAACCTGAGTCACTAAGATGACTTCATGCTCTCATAGTCTTAACGAGAATGATATATTCACAATGCAAAACATGCGTAAGTTGGCGTAAGTTGCATACAAACAGTGACATCAGATATTCCACCCACAAAAATGCTAGCCATGCCAAATATTATAGGAGAGATGATCACTAGAGAACAATATATGAAAAAAAGAAAAAATATAAACAAACCTTTGTCCCCTCCATCCTTCACTGGAATAAGCATCAAGTAAATTTTGTTCATAGTGAATCCTATGCAGTAAGTATCTCAAATGCTTTCGCATTTTTGAGAATGCATCATCAGATTTTCCGTCATTTCCCTTCCCTTTTTTCCTTCCTCTCCTTCCAGTGCTTCCCTTTGTAGTTTCCACAATAATACTTGGTTCAGGATCTTTGGAGTTCACATTTGACCTGGAGCGCAAGTCCCTCTTACTAGCTGCTGATAATTGTCGAGGGGTTTTCTTCTCTGAAGCTACTACAGCCTTAGACCTTCGGCCCCGTATAGGCTTTTCGTTAGCATCATAGGCTGGAGCTGCTAATACCACAATGCGTACCTTATCACCAGCTTTTTCAGGGGATGGTGTGGAATGTACATTAGGAGTAACCTCAGTGTCACAAGCAACACCTAGAGGTGAGGTCTGTGCATTAGGAATAACCTCGGCGTCACAAGCATCAAATTCATTTGGCTCAGTTTTACCACTACTCTTTAACATATCACTAATCAAATTTTCTTCATCTTCAGCCAGGGAAATCTGGACACCTTCCATCTCAAAAAGAACATTTGTATCATCTTTACTTTCTGCATTCTGCTCAGCTTTCACACTGTCTGGTCCTGCTTCAGAATCATCCCTTTCTTTCAACCCTGGTTGCTCACATTTCACACTATCATGACCGCCTTCCCTCTGATTTTCTGACTCCTGTTCAACTCTTAAGCTAACATCCACTCCCTCTAAGGGGATTTTATCCGAAACCACATTGCTCATTTGCACAGGCTCACCTAGTTGATTACCAATACTTCCAATCTCATTCTTAGACAGTTCTACCACTGGTTTCTCATTGGCAATTGTATCAGTTTGATTTCCCATTTGCAACTCCGCCACAATTGGCTCATTAACCGAACTTTGATAACTGAAAACTTGATTTTCCTCAATCATTTGTTTAGGTATCGACGCGTTTCCAAACTTTCCTGAGCTCGTAAACTCGGCCATGCAACTTAAACAACTAAATTAACAAAGGCTCCATCTTAAAAAATCAACCAATGCCATGAATGAATCCTCCACCTATGCTCTACACCAGAAGTTCCAACAGACGCTGAAACCTACCCAAATCAAAACTTGAAGCAAACTCAATACCCAGATCGATAAATCAAGCATACAACTGCAACAAGTTCATTCAGCAAGTATTTGAGGCTTTGAGCAATTACTTCAACAAGAAATAAAATCACGAATAGCTAAATTTCTTTTCTTTTCTTTTTCTTTTTTACAAGACAACAAATCCAAAATCATTTCAAAGAGCAACACAAAATAGTGAAAAACCCATCAATTCTAACACCAGAAAAATCATACCCACAAGATAAAATCCCAAGATTCAACAGAAAACAAATTGAAATATACTTCTTTTATTTGAATAGATAAGGTAGGAGAGAGAAAAGTACCTTCATCCCAGGTAAAACAACAGCAAGAAAACATGGATTTTGGATTGAAAGAGCAAAAATGAGCACCGAAAAAATGGCGGAAGAAGCGGAGCGACGGCGTTGGAGTTGTCGGCTGAAGCGGAGCTAGGTTTTGTGTTTGTGTTCGCGAAAATTGAGGGGGGAAAAAGGGAAGATGGATTGGAGGTGTGACTGAGAGGACTTAAACTCGAATTCCGGGAGAGAGCAATGGTTCAAAATATATTATGGAGAGTGCTAAAAAAGTTGGGTGGTTGAAATTTCTCTTTATCTTTTTTTTACCTCCCACCAGCATTCGCACTCTTACTCGCATTATGTTATTTACTCGTTTTAATAGAGGTCTAAGCCGTCTAACATATTAAGGTAGATCGAAATAATTAGTAACTTGTAACTTGCAAGAGGTGTGGGTTTAGTATGATTCATGTCAATACTCAATCATTTTAATAGGGTTATACTTAGACCATTCTTACGATAAAGTGTAAGAGTACTCACACTTTGTTAATTACTCATTTTGTAATAGGTCTAACTTATTAGGCTAGATCAATATGATTTGTGACTTGCCAAATGTGTGGGTTTGGTATGGTTCATGTCAATACTCATTCATCCTAAACCCTAATAGGATTATATTTAGTATGGTTCATGTCTAACTTGCTAAGCTAGATTGGGTTGATTTATAAAAGGTGCAAGTCAAAGATGGTTTCTTTCATTACCACATAATTGTAATTGTAATATAAATTACCTTATTCTTCCCCACCCTTACTCCCAAGAGTCCTTGCCTGCCTACTCGACTAAGTTAACCTATGAAATGTATGGTCTGATAGGTTTTAGCTTATCATGATTATAAATAAAAAAAAAATAATAAAAAAAAAAGTAGCACATGGATGCTTAGTTCTTCCAACAAAAATACAAAGTAGAAAAGAAAACTAGCAAAATTATGCATTAATCAGTATTTTTTAATACTTGTACTATGTTGTCTATGCATAATAATTTCCTTAATATCTTAAAAAAAAGTTCTTGGAGTACAACTTTTATATTTAGGGTCTGTTCTCATTGACTAAACTGAACTTATTAGAGCTAAACTGAACTGAATTGAACTGAATTTATTAGAGCTGAACTAAATTGAATATTTTATAAGAGAAGGAAATTAAAAGCTAAACTGAACTAAACTTATTAGAACTGAACTGAACTGAAAATAATTGAGAATAGGACCTTAGTGACCTTGGTTTTCTCATAAAAGTATCACTTTCCTAAAGAGTATAAAAATAAGATAACGGTCTTGTTTGGCAAATGGCTGTTGGCGGTTGGCTGTTGGATGGTTCGCTTGGCTTGTTTGACCAGCTGGAATGTTTGACTGTTTATAATGACTTTTGAAATTGGCTGTTTAAGTTGGTTGTTTATAAAAGTGTTTGGTAAATTAATTGGTGGTTCTTGGCTGTTTATTAGATAATTTGTGGGCCAACAAGCCAAAAGCAAGCAAAAAAGCTACTCAAAGCAGCTTTTCATTTTGGCTTAAAGCCAGCTTTTTTGCTGACTAAAAAGCCAATTACCAAACACATTTTTTGGTTGTTTGACCACCTAAAAAAGTCAAAAGCCAAAAGCCAAAAGCTAACCAAAAAGCCAATTACCAAACACATTTTTTGGCTGTTTGACCACCTAAAAAAGTCAAAAGCCAAAAGCCAAAAGCTAAAAGCTAACCAAAAAGCCAATTACCAAACACATTTTTTGGCTGTTTGACCACCTAAAAAAGTCAAAAGCTAAAAGCCAAAAGTCAAAAGCTAACAAAAAAGGCATTAAAAAGCCAATTACCAAACATGGCCAATATAAGGCCACCCTGCAACAGAGTTGCAGATCATTATTACATTACATGTTACATTTAGTGTTAATAAACATGCTTTCATTGCTTTAGGGGAGAAAAATCCAAAACCTAATGGATTGAAAAAGTTGGGACAATAGTCTGAAGTCCAAATTTCAAGTCCAAAAGTTTTTGGACTATACTTAGGCACAACCTTGTCAAGTTAATAATCCAATCTTGAGTCCAAAGTGTAAAACTACTACATACTTGTATATACTATATACCTCTAATGTGTAAGAAAAAATTCACCAAATATACCCATAATCTATAATAAATCAATACTTTTAATTTGAGAGAAAATTATCCAAAGTACATAATACTTTTTTTTCCATTTTTTTTTTTTTTTTTGAAGAAACCAAAGTACATAATAGTTACTACTAGTTTATTACTACTTATAAAATGTTGGAGATCTCAAAGCCTTATGAAGGGCTCTTTAAATTTTGGGTATTTTTGGATTATTAGGGGTCACAAAAAGGAGTACAATATTGGTATTTCTCCAAAAAAAAATACTTCAATATTTATCCATCTTAGGTCATGGCTTACTTGCTTGCATCATTGCATTATTTGCATATCCACACACTCATAGGAGCAGACTACAACCTATGGAGTACAGTACAGAGCACATCATCTAAGCTAACTGTAAGTGATACAGGATATCCATTACATTTCCAGCAAAAACAGAAGAAGAAAGTAGCTGCTCATCTCAAACAGCTTTGGTAAATAGTAATGCCGATGATCATAAGAAGCATAAGTGCATAACATAACAGCATAACGCTAGCGAATACTAACAACATTTAACTTACACACAGGCAGACCGGCTCCTAACTCCCAAAAGTTCCCGCACACCTCAAGAGTACTGAGATGACCAAATTTATACACAGCTCCCAAGTCCCAACACACCTCAGGACTCAGGAGTTATGAGATGACTTAGTTTACACATTAGATTTTTTTCCCCTCTACAAAACACACACGAAGTATATTCTACTCAATAATATTTAAGAAGGTGTCTTCCGGGCTACAGACAAGCATCCCTCTTTGCTAGAGTGTTTCTCATAATCATATTCTTCCAAAATGTACTTTAACAATCAAGGTGATTTTTTTGAGCTGCCGCTTTATCTGAAATATACAGTAATACACAAACATAAGAAATCAATTCATAGTAAAGACCTCATTTGTATACATTATATGCTTTTGATGCAAACACATGCAATAATGCAAACACAGAAATTGAGTCTTCTCCGCCTGAAGGGAAAAAAAAACATACAAATGCAAACATCTAGAACCAGTTTATCTAATGAGATTGCAGAGCTCCTTGCCATGATGAGAAATGAGACAAAACAAAGATTAAAATCAAGCCGAATGGTGTGAAGATTTAACTGGATTGCTGAGAGACAAAAAATGATTTAACAAGAAAGAAACTATATACAATTGAACGTCAATTCTTTGCACTAGGAGAAATCATGTTACGGAGTATCAAAGAAATCCAAACCAAAGTCACTATTGTAAAACGGCATAAGAAAAGGCGATGAAAATAACTTGAATAAAATAAAGTTGCTCACTCAGCATAGCCACAATCTCTTCCTGCTGAACCATTTGTTCCTCTAGTTCACGCCATTCTACAAGGAGCTTGGACTTTCTCGTCTCAAGGTTTATCACAATACCTTTCTGACACTTGCTTTTGTGAATTGCCTATTCCCTTTCAACAAAGGGAGCTAACCAATCGAATTTGAATTGCATTGTCTGGAGATCTACTAGGGATGAGTTCAGGTACTCAGCTTGTTGGTATTTCAAGGACTCCCCTGTATTTTCTTGAAGAATAATTATCATCTTGTAAAGTGATTCAAAGGAAAATGTAAGAAGGCCATCAATTACATTCCCATTGTTTTTTTTTTTTTTTTTTTGTTTGACATTGAATTACATTCCCATTGTTATTCCATATTTATTGCATTAAAAGCTGATAAACACAGAAATTGAGCATGTATGTTACTTGTTGACTAATGAACATACCTTTAAACTTATAAGTAAATCTGCATCAATAAACTTTGGACTTGTAAATTGGTATTACCAAGTCCAAGCTGACATCTGTTTCTAGTAAATTCTTCTCTAAAATACTTTTTTTTTTTTTCAAGAAAGGATGTTGGATGCATAGATTAAGCGTTAATTACATTAGGAGTATTAGCTGGGACATCAACAGCTAAGTTAGAGTTATGGTTTACAGACGCCAAGTTACAGTCTTTCGCAAAAGCTTCACTACAACAAACAGGAGGTGGGTGATACAAAATACACAATTGGTTCATGACCTCCAAGTTACATCTAGCATAGAGTATTCGCTGGGACATCACCAGCAAAATTAGAGTTATGATTTACAGACCCCAAGTTATAGTCTGTCACAAAAGCTTCGCTACAAACAGGAGGTGGGTGATACAAAATACATAATTGGTTCATGGCCTCCAAGTTACATCTAGCATCCTTAGCTACTAAATCCGCTACTGCATTAGAGGCTCTTTCTTTAAAGTGCAATTCCAAAAGGTGAAACTCCCTTAACAGGTCCCTGCAATTACAGAGCAAAATTGCAATATTAGAAATTTGACTTCCTAAGTTCATCTCCTCTATTGCCCTTTTCGAGTCAGACCAAAAAATGACATCTCCTCTAATACACTTACTTTAAGAAAATTGCATGAATAGGTTAAGAAAAATTTGCTAGTTTCCTGCAAGATACTCATAGGAGAAAGCAGGCTAGCCACCAGCATAATGATGCCTAGTAAAATACCTGGTGAGGCGAATTCATTGCTGAAACTGATGTGCCATTGTTCTCACCTGAGACCTCTGCGACAAAATCCAAGTAATATAAGCTAAAGAAAATATATTGTCAATGATTAGGTAAGGGGTAAAAAGAGAGGGAAAAGGGAAGTTCCAAAACCCTCCCCTGTCTGAGTGAAATAGATATGTTCATATGTAACCTTCTAGAGATGTGTTTATTTGGTCCAAGGGTGAAGAAGATTCCTCAACTGCTGACTCGTTCTCCCCATGCTGTGAGCTAGACTCTGAATCACTTTCTTCCTCTGAGCTAGACTCTGAACCACTTTGTTCCTCATTTTCCTCAGGCTCTAAACCATGTTGTTCCTCATCCTCCTCAGACTCTGAACCACTTTGTTCCTCATCCTCCTCAGGCTCTGAACCATTTTGTCCCTCATCCTCCTCAGAATCCCCATCTGAGCCACTCGAACTGGCCGGAGGTGTCAAAATGTTTGCATTTTTGCTACACAAACTATGATATCAAAGTATATTTCAAGCTATAACACAAAGGATTAAATCAGAACATGATATTATGGCATGCATAGCAAAAGAACATGATAAAGCTCAATCATCAGACCATCAAAACGACAAAAGGTTTTTTAAACAAAAGACTTTCTGAACAAAGCAGGCTGCTAAAAGGATGTGCATGTGGCAGGGTAAATTTATCAGTACAAATATGCAACACTTAATAAGCACTATGTTTCCAAAATCATTTTAGATCCCAAATGATGATTTACAATACTCCAAATTTATCACCATTCCGAAAATATTAAGCCACTCATACATGTACATGGATTAATGATGAGCCCAATACCAAACTATTTATTACCAAAAAAAAAAGCAATGGAGCAAATTATCAAGCATGCACTAGTTATACCACATTTTTTTAAGAGCTAAGTTTACAATTTTAACAGATTATACTGAGATTTTACCTAGATGAGGAGCTCGCGTCTGACAAGATCCAAGAAGGAATAGGCCAAAACAATTTACACAAATCCGGGTAAAATGATATAGGCTGAAAAGAGTTCTCAACCATACTGAACACACCAATCTCGAGGTGCCTTGTTGCTCCTTGAAACAATCCTCCATCAACAACGTAATCTCCAGCATTATTAGGAAAGCAATGCTTAGGGAACAGTATACAATCCCTTTCCCAAACCGGAAGATAATCCGCTTCAACAAAGAAACACTTATCATAAGACACAAACAATATCTGATCTCCAAAAGTAGTAACTCTCTCCCACTTGTGCAACTCCTCATTCAACTTAAACACCTTAAACTCGGTATCCCCTCGACCAATCATGTACAGCTCATCATCATACTCCATCAAAAGCTTGCGCCTATCACCTACCTCACTCGAATCAAGCGGCTCACTTATCACTTCAATCACCTTTCCATCATCACCATTGATAAGGAAAGCTTTCCCATATCGAGTTAAAGCACAAACATTTCCCTTAAACTTCTCGATATCATCGAATCGAGGATTATAACCTAAACTCGTAAACTTCCATTCCCCATTAGTCCTCATAAGCCCCAACATCCCCCCTTGACCGAGCGACAAAACTACCACAACACCGGCTTCCAACAATATAGATTTAGTCTTAACAGGATAATTTCGCCAATTGTAAATTCTAGAATCAAATAAATCATCATCACCATCAACAAAACGAAGTTTATAGCTCATATCATAAGGCTCGGGAGAATAATCATTCAATTTAAAGGATTCAGGAAGATTACTAATATCGAGGCGATTATTAGTAATAGGATGGCGAACTTGAAGCTTATTAGGCTTCAAATCATCAACTTGAATAATCCAGGCAATGGAACTGGGTTTATGAATCGGACGTCTTAGAATGTAGACGAAACTTGTAATTAAAACAACAGTTTTACCTAAATAAGTAGGAATTTTGAGGGGAAATCCAGGAAGAAAGATGGTGAATGGAGAAGTGCAAGATTCACGCCAATTTTTGCAAACTCCTCGAAAATGCCGGTAATCGTCGCTGAATTCGGGAAAGCATTTGGCGATTTCTCCGAGCAATTCTTTAGGGAGTTCCGACCAATCTACCTCTGTCACCTTCTTACTCGGCGTCTCCTGATTCATTTTGCGGTGAATTGGAAACCCTAACTCTCTCAGTTCTTCCCCAATTCGTGTTTCTAGGGTTTCTAAAGTGGTTCCCAATTGAAACAGATAGTACAAGTAATAAATAGGAAGCTAGGAAGGAGTATAGGACATTAGGACGGTTGAATTAAGGAGAGAGTTGATTGCTCAATAGGACATTAGAGCACTCTCACCAATGGGGAGAAAAATGCCCATGGGTAATTTTTGGGGTTTAATAAAAAAAAATAACTCCCCATCAATGGTCTAAATTAGAAATGCCCATGGGCAAATCAGTTTTTGATCAAAGTTTGGGCAAAATTAAAAAACGGACCAAAAAGAAGTGGGCCCCACGTGCAAGCTGTATTTAAATTTTTTTTTTTTTTTGCTAAGCATACCTCAAAACGCAGCGTTTTGAGGAAGCTTATGCTTTGCTTCACCTCAAAATGCTGCGTTTTGAGGGTAGGAAAAGCAAAAAAAATGATTTTGGCAGCCCTGACAGGCGCGTCAGCACGCCCAATCAGGCGCTGACACGCGTCCTGTCAGGTGAGTTGGACCAATCAGGAAATTCCTGATAATTGCAACTGTAACAATTTTGTAACGGGTATTTTGTGCTTATAAAATTAAAAAAAAATATATACCAACGGCTAGAAAAAAAATTCTCTACAAATAGAGACCCATTTTGCCTATATTTTCATATTTTCAAAATTCACATAAATTTGTTGTATTTACATTTTCTCTCAATTTCTCCCTCATAATTAGTCATCCTTTTAATATTAGTATTATTATTATTATTATTATTAAAATAAATATTATTATTATTAAAATAAATATTATTATTATTGGAAGTATAATTATTATTGTTATTATTTTAGCTTATTAATATTATTATTGTTGTTCGTTATTATTTTTGTTATTAATATTATTATTATTATTATTATTATTAGTATTATTTTTATAATAGTTATTATTATTATTGTTATTATCGTGTTAGTTTTTGAAATTAATCAAAAAAAATAGATATGGATCCCAATAACCCCTTTTACTCAATACTTTCTCAAAATTGTAATGATTTTGATGAGAATTTCATGAATCAACCTCAATTTCAACTTTTCCTACAAAGATTGAGCAACACCTCAATTTCAACTTTTCCTACAATTTCAAATTAATCATATATTTTGTTCAATTATGAGTGAAGTCCAATTGTAGTTTTTGTTTTATACAACCATTGAGTAGTCAAGTCCAATTGTAGTTTTTGTTTTATACAACCATTGAGTTGTCAAGTCCAATTGTAGTTTTTGTTTTATACAACCATTGAGTAGTCATTTCATACATAACTTCAACCGTATGACAAGCATTGGTATTGATTATTAAGAATTGAGTAGTCATGTATTTTGTTTTTACTATACATTGAGTAGTCAGTTCACACTCAGTTGAAGGACATGCACTGATAACATTTCCTATTTAAAGGTGTGAAATCCATAAATTGATCCACAACACCAAAACATTCAAAAACCAAACACAAAAAATGTTTTCCATAAGCTCAACCTCAAGCTCAAATTCTTCTGATTCAGATCAATATGCGGAATTTGATAATCTAGTTGACGAATTTGTCACAAATCACTTACCTAACATAATGCTTCCTCAACCACCTCCATCCGAGACCAAAATTGTAAATGAAGATGAAACAGTCCCGCAGCATAGGGGAGATAGAGAAAGGGAGAAAGGGCATTTGCAATTGTACAATGATTACTTTTCAATAAATCCTGTGTATTCCGAAAATCAGTTTCGTCGTCGATTTCGAATGCACAAAGCTTTATTCTGTCGGATTATGAATAAAGTGGTTGAGGGCGATCCGTTCTTCCAGCAGCGTAGGAATGCAGCTGGTAGGCTTGGCTTATCACCTCTGCAGAAATGCACCGCTGCAATAAGAATGTTAGCGTATGGTGTTGCTCCGGATGCCGTAGATGAATACATACGCATGGGTCAAACAACGTCTAGAAAATCAATGCAACATTTTACTCAAGGGGTGATCAAGCATTTTGAGGCCGAGTACTTAAGAAGTCCAACGGATGAAGATTTAAGGAGAATCCTTCACCAAAATGAAATGCGTGGATTCCCGGGCATGATCGGTAGCATCGACTGCATGCACTGGGAGTGGAAGAACTGTCCTATGGCTTGGAAAGCACAATACGCAGGTCGTAGCAAGAATGCAACCCTTATCCTCGAAGCTGTTGCGGATCAAGATTTATGGATTTGGCATGCAATTTTTGGAATACCCGGCTCTTGTAATGATCTGAACGTCCTATACCGCTCTCCGGTGTTTGACGATGTTTTGAAAGGTCGGGCACCACCAATTAGTTTTATAGTAAACGGCCATGAATACAACATGGGATACTACTTAACAGATGATATATATCCGAACTGGGCAACATTTATACAAGGTATCACATATCCTCAACTCCAGAAGGACAAGTTATTTGCAGATAAACAAGCTGCAGCTCGGAAAGACGTTGAACGTGCGTTTGGAGTTCTACATGTTAGGTTTGCCATATTACGACAACCTTCACTTGCTTTCGACGAAGACATTTTGAGCGACATAATGAAAGCTTGTATCATTATGCATAACATGATTGTCGAGGATGAACGACACAATTACACTCGTGCCGAAGTTTTGAGAAGGTATTACGAAGAAGATCGCCCTCAACTTCATAGAGCAAGGTCCGGTCCGAGTACAAGTGCCACAGTGAATAACAACGAGCCTTTCGAATTTGACGTTGGCCGACCACCAAACGTTGATTTTGACGCGTATATTCAAAGAAGAATTACCCTGCGTGATAGCCAAACCCATTTTTCTTTGAAAGATGATTTAGTTGAGCATATTTGGCAAAAATACGGTCGTAATGAATAAATAGTTTTGTAATCGTTAATTTATTTGGTTTGTATGATTGGTGTACGATCATTATGTTCCAATGTTGTAATCGTTAATGTTGTACTAATGAAAAATGAAATTTCGCATAAAATAATGACACAAATAATTAATATTGTACTCATAAATAATTTAATCAATAAAAAAATTTAGTTAAGAATAAATATTATTATTTTATTAAAAAATACATTTTGCAAAAATTAATATTAAAAATTATTAATGTTTCGGGGTTTTCTGATGTCCTGCGGGAGAGTTACAATTCCGAGACTGGAACCGGACGCCTGTACCTGCAAAATAACGGAGACTCCTGAGAGCTCCGCCTCCAACGGTCAAGTTAGTACCTGATTAAGGAGTAATTAATACGGAAATTAAAGTAATAAGATCTCTCTAGGTGAGAGTGCTTAGTGTTGGTAATCTGCGTCGTTAGCGAGATTAGCCGGTTGTTGGTGTTCCGTAATATCTCTGTTCTTCTCTGCTTGATTTCTTGATTTCTCGATCCCCTAACTAATGAGGATTAATTAAGTATTTATAGCCTTGAGAAGCGTGCCACTCTCTAGGTTTAAGGTAAACCTAGGGCTGATCGGGCCTCTAGACTGGATTGGGCCTTGATGGCCGGTTTTCCCATTTGGCATGGGTGGACACGTGGCGTGCCTTGATTGGTCCGTAGAGGACGTATCTGTGACTGACACGTGGCAGGCTCCTATTAGCCTTCGTGAGGGACACGTGGCGGAACCTGGTTGGTCCACTTGTCAGACGGTGATTGGTGGATAAAAAATCCCCTAATCATTTGCCCCTCACAGGTGGCACGTGACAGGTCACGTGTCGCCTGTGACAGGTGTCGCACGGTGACAGGCGACGGCCTGTTACAGGTGTCACCTTGCAAACGGCCGAGAGATTTTCCCGCCCAAATTTTGAATTTGGAAGCGACCTTTCGCCTTCTCACCTTGCCTATATAAGGAAGTGCTGACTTCGGTCATTTTCACATTTGAGAACTTTGCGAGAACATTCGGACCCCTGAACTTGCTCTGACATTTCGGACCTTTTCTGCCTACCGCCTGTTCTGACAAGCCGACTGCACCGGACTTCTAGGACTTCATCAACCGTCACTCGTTCAGGTAACTCAGTTCTCTTACTCTTAATTTTCTTTTTATTTTTTGAAATGGCACCACGGAAGCACACGACACGACCTAAGTTAGTGATCAGCCGGTCACCGGGGACGGCTGAATCTAGGACTAGGAGTGCCGCCTGCCCTTTTCTGGACCCATCTTTGCCCTTTATACAAAGTCCGACTGTATCTGTGTCTATGCAGAACGTGATGGCCAGAACGAAACAGACTGCTATGATATCAAACTCAGACGGCTCCTCCCAAAGGGTGCTCCTTAGTGAAACATCTGACCAGGCCCCAGATGTAGAATTGAAACGAGGCGACTGCCAAGCCGACAGTTCTGAGAGAGGGGCCAAGGTGGTCCCTTCCCATCTTACCGTTGACATGTCTAATTTTCCTCCTGCTCCTTCTAAGGGAGAGGAGGCGGGCCCCTCTGGGAGAGGGGAGGAGTCGTCCTCTTCGGACTCGTCAGAGGACGAGTCCGAGTCCAGCTCTTCTGGCCACAGTTCTCCAAAGCCACCTACAAGAGGCGAGACTTTCTCATGCAGTTGAGAAGGGGGACAATTGGGCGGAGCCGTCTGCCTCTTACAGAGAGGAAAACGCCCCCTACTACTGCATGGTACCCCGAGGCCGGATCGCAACCATGCAAGACAACGTGGCGAGCTTTATTGCCAACCACAGAATGGGCCCGGAATTTTTACTGTTCGTGCCGGATCCAGAAGACACTGTCGTCTGGCCGGCTGGTACCAGCTATGGTGACGGCTGCTTTGGCTGCTATGTGGCGGCCATCAAAGCTGGACTGCGCTTCCCATTACATCCGGCTGTTCAGCGGATTTTAGATGGGTATGATCTGGGGTTATGGCAGTTAGCCCCCAACTCTTGGGTAAACGTACTCGGCTATGTGGCCGGGTGCGAAATGTACGGGGTGGAGCCAAGCTTTGAGGCTTTCGCCCACATGAACTATCTCAGCCGGACCCCTAAGTCGGGAGGTACCGGCTGGTACCAATTAACAAGCCATAGGGGTTACCTCATGACGAGAGGTAAGGCGAACAAATGGAAGGATTGGCGGAACACCTTCCTTATCATTGAGGGTTCAGACACGGAGCTGAACCGACGTTTTAACAAGTGGAATAGGGATCCGCCTCTTCTCGCAGGCGGCCGCAACATGCCGCCTGTTCCCCCAAAGGCTAAAAGAGAGA